ACCTGTAAATAACGCCGTGGGCGATCGGAACGAGTTGGAGAGCGCCAAACGATCGTAAAAAGACATGAACACTCCACTTGCTCGAACGATCCGTTTCCACTTGACGTGGCGGTCAATTCACGCGATAAACCGAAATTAGTTTATGCGTAATGAATTTGCGACATCGATAATTGCCGGCCGTTTAACCGCCGGCTGGTTCACCGATATCTCATCGATCCTTTCTAATTAAGGCAGCTCTCGATGTCCGATGGTATCGCGTTTTAATCGATCCTTGTGCGCGTTTTCCCTCGTTTTATTGGATAAATTTGGGAATTATTATTTAGAGAGCCGGTGTCCATGGAAATTGGAAAGTTAATATTCAGTTTGTATATTATTATAGGCAGTTAGGTTAATTATTTTTAAATTAAATTCTCGAGGATCGAATTTATTAAGATTAAATAATTATTATTTATTCGAAACATCATATGAATATCAAAGGAGACACAGAATGCTGTATTTTATAGAATTATGCTTAAATTAGAATTTATATTATAGAAATTGTATTATTTCTCTTACCTTGAAGTTTCTAAAAAAAAAAAAAAATAGATACATTTTAAAGATCGATTAATTGCCTGTTTAAAATTGATTTTCAATAAGATATGTTTTTCTTCTTTCAATTTCGTCCATTCGAAAGTGTTAGCTGAAATATCGAAATAATAATTGCATCAAAATACTTCTTTTACCACTTTACAATCGTATAGATTTTCAATTTGTAACAACAGATATGTTGAAATTCGACATTTACCAAGAATATAATTATTAAAACAAACATTATTATGCAGCATTTTAAACTGCATAATATCTTCTTTCTTCGCTTGAAGGAGGAAAAAAGGATAATATCGATAACAAAGATTGAAGAATGGAATGAAAGGTTTAAAAAAAAAAAAAAAGAAAAGAAAGAAAAAAACGAAAATAAAACATGTAAATATACAACATAATAGTCTCCATTTTAATATAATGAATTCATAATGGTAATAGACAATAATAATAATAATATAATAATAATAATATGATGGTGCCAATAATAATAATAATAATAATAATAATAATAATAAAATTAATATAATAATAATAATAATAATAATAATAATAGATATATTCTGTCTATATTCACATTTAGAACTATGTACAATTTAATTAATTTACAATTGAATTCGTACGAACAACCAAATAGAACCTATTAATCGTGTGTAGTATGTATATATATATATATTTATATATTTATATTTATATATATATCTATATACCTAATACCTGTATAATATATATATTCACAACAGATAGGTCTCTT